AAAAGCTAAAACCATTCCCTTTAAGATCAGGAACAAGACAAGGCTGTCCACTTTCTCCACTTTTATTCAACATAGTCCTAGAAGTTCTAGCCACAGCAATTAGACAAGAAAAACAAATAAAAGGCATTCACATTGGCAAGGAGGAAGTAAAATTGTCATTATACACAGATGACATGATACTATATACAGAGTACCCCAAAGACTCCATCAAAAAACTATTGGAACGAATAGACAAATTCAGTAAGGTAGCAGGATACAAAATCAATACTCAGAAATCAGTTGCATTTGTGTATACTAATAATCAACTATCGGAAGGAGAAATTAAGAAAACAATTCCATTTACAATCACTTCAAGAACTATAAAATACTTAGGAATAAATTTAACCAAAGAAGTAAAAGACCTGTACTCTGAAAACTACAAGACACTGAAGAAAGAAATAAAAGAAGATACAAACAAATGGGAAAACCTCCCATGCTCATGGGTAGGAAGAATTAATATAGTTAAAATGTCCATATTGCCTAAAGCAATATATAAATTCAATGCAATTCCTATCAAACTACTTAGGGCATTTTCCACAGAAATAGAAAATGTAATCCTAAAATTTATATGGCACCAAAAAAGACCCCGAATAGCCACAGCAATCTTTAGAAATAAGAAAAAGGCGGGGGGAGTCACACTTTCAGACATTAGAACGTACTACAAGGCTACAGTAATCAAAACAGTATGGTACTGGCATAAAAACAGGCACATAGATCAATGGAACAGAATAGAGAGCCCATAATTAAATCCAGGCATATACGAGCAGTTAGTCTATGACAAGGGAAGCAAGAATTTACATTGGGGTCAAGATAGTCTAATAAATGGTGCTGGGAAAATTGGACTGCCATGCAAAGAAATGAAACTGGACCACTTCCTTACGCCATATACAAGAACAAATTCAAAGTGGACTAAAGACTTAAATATAAGACCTCAGACCATAAAACTCCTAGAAGAAAATATAGGGTCTAAAGTTGCAGACATTACCCTGAGCAATATTTTAACTGATACATCCCTGCGAGCTAGGGAAGTAAAAGAAAACATGAACATATGGGACTACATCAAACTTAAAAGTTTTTTCACAACAAAAGAAACCATCAATAAAACAAAAAGGAAGCCTACTGAATGGGAGAAGATATTTGTCAACAAGATGTCTGATAAGGGGTTAATATAAAAAATATATAAAATGCTCATGCAACCCAACACCAAAAAAACAAACAACCCAATTAAAAAATGGGCAGAGGATATGAAGAGACATTTCTCCAAAGAGGGCATACAGATGGCTAACAGGCATATGAAAAAATGTTCAACCTCACTTAGCATTAGGGAAATGCAAATAAAAACCACAATGAGACACCACCTCACCCCGGTCAGAATGGCTATCATCAATAAATCAACAAACAACAAATGCTGGTGAAGTTGTGGGGAAAAGGGAACCCTGGTGCACTGCTGGTGGGACTGCAGACTGGTGCAGTCACTATGGAAATCAGTATGGAGGTATCTCAAAAAACTGGAAATGGAACTACTTTATGACCCAGCAATCCCACTCTTAGGTATTTATCCAAAAAAACCCAAGACATTAATCAGAATAAATATGTGCACCCCTATGTTCATTGCGGCACTATTCACAATAGCTAAAAATTGGAAACAACCGAAATGCCCATCGGTAGACGACTAGATTAAGAAACTATGGTACATTTACACAATGGAGTATTACTCAGCTATAAAGAAGAAGGAAATAGTACCCTTTACAACAATATGGATGGAACTAGAGAACATTATGCTAAGTGAAATAAGTCAGTCAGAGAAAGACAAATACCATATGATCTCACTTATACGTGGATTCTAAAAAACTGAATCAATGAGAAATGTAAACAGAAGTAGTCTCAGAGACACAGAGGAAAAACTGAGGGTTGCTAGTTCGGACGGGGTGGGGATCAAGGAGAAGGGGAAGGAAGGGGACAATACAAATTGGTAACTACAATATGGCTTCAGGGATAGACAGGACAGTCTGGGGAATATAATCAATGATGCTGTAAATATTTTTTAGGGGACCAGATGGACTCATGTCTTGTTAGGGAGACCACTTCATAGTCGATGTAGAGGCCTGACCACCGCACTGTATATCTGAAGCTGATGTTGAATAATAATGTATGTCAACTATAATTATATATACATATAGTCACAGGATGCAGAGTAGAGAGTGGATATGGAGTCAATGGAATTGTAATAGATAAGCATGATATTGGGGGTGGGAGGGCAGTAGATGGGGTTTGGGGGTTGTTACTTTGTGAGGGGTGAAAAGGATAACTATTGCATTGTTCTGTACACCTGAAACTAACAATTAAAAAAAAAAGAAAATTGCTGAATGAATGAAAAAAAATAAAAAAGGCAAATACCTTATGATTTCACATATTTGTGGACTCTATAAAGAAACAAAATAAACAAACAAACAAAATAAACAAACAGAACAGAAACATCTTGTAGATACACACAAAAAATTGATGGTTGCCAGATGGGAAGGGAATGGGGAGATGGGTGAAAAAGGTGAAGAAATTACAAAGTACAAATGGTCAGTTATAAAAACAGTCATGGGACTGTTAAATACAGCATGGGGAATATAGTCAATGATATTGTAATAATACGAGGCCTGACAATTAAGCTCATAAACTTGTTACAACGACGATGTTAACCTTTTTTGATATCAGAGGGATTATTCATTATAAATTTGTACCAACTGGTCAAACAGTTAAGCAAGTTTTCTATTTGGAAGTGTTGAAAAGGCTCCGTGAAAAAGTTAGACGACCTGAATTTTTCACCAACAATTCATGCCTCTTGCATCATGACAATGCACCAGCTCACATGGCACTGTCTGTGAGGGAGTTTTTAGCCAGTCAACAGATAATGCTATTAGAACACCCTCCTGCTCATCTGATCTGGCCCCAAAGACTTCTTTCTTTACCCAAAGATAAAGGAAATATTGAAAGAAAGACATTTTGATGACATTCAGGACATCAAGGGTAATATGATGGCATCTCTGATGGCCATTCCAGAAAAGAGTTCCAAAACTGCTTTGAAGGGTGGACTAGACACTGGCATTGGTGCATAGCTTTCCAACTGGAGTACTTTGAAGGTGACCATAGTGATATTCTGCAATAAGTTATGTAACACTTTTTCTAGGGTGAGTTCGTGAACTTAATTGTCTGACCACGTATTTGTGGTGTCAGATGGGTAAAAGTCATAGAGGGGAAATCACTTCATAAGTTATATAAATGTTTAATCACTATGTTGAAACTAATGTAATATTGTATGACAACTGTAAGTGAAACTTTTAATATATAAATACATATAAGAATATGAATAATTTTAAACTAAAGACTTTGACATTTTAATGAAAAAGACAGATGTGATGAGAAAAATGTACCTTACAATGCTGACAAAATTAAACAGAGAATGTGAATACTTTATAACTACAAAAGCATTTGGATCTGCATGCAAAAAATTCCTCACAATAAACATCACCCTGGATCCCCATAGCTTCACCAGAAAAATCTACCAAATTTAGAAGAGGAAATAAGATCAATCATACACAAACTCTTTAAGAAAGTAAAAATATTCCCAGGCTGGTTCACTGAGGAGCACCAGCATTTTCTGTGTACTCAGAAAAGGGTAGTGTTAGATGATAAAGTGTGAGCTGTAACCCAGAATGCAAACAATGGAGTGTGGTGTCAAGTGGAGGAAGGAGCGATGTCAGGAGGGAGATGTGGAGCAACATTTGTAAGTGCTAGAGATGAAGACATTGAGATTAAGACTGAACATTTCATTTGTAAGTCTGTAGTTGTTACATTTGGGTAGAGGCATTCAACTTTTTGTTTCAACATGACCCACAGTTAGAAATATATTTTATGCCATGGTTTAGTACAACCATATACATTAAATTCAATCACAATAACTTTGTCATCAGAAAGGGTAAGTACTATATGATTTCACTCATATGCAATATGTAAAACAAAAGCAGCAAATAAACAAACAAAACAAAAAAACCTCATAGACACAGACAACAGAATGGTGATTACCAGAGGAGATGGGGGATGGAGGAAAGATGAAGAGGGTTAAGGGATCAAATATATGGTGTCAGAGGGAGACTAGACCCTGGGTGGTAAACACACAATGCGATATACAGATGATATATTATAGAATTGTACACTTAAAACTTATATAATTTTCTTAATTAGCGTTACCTCAATAAATTTAATTTAAAATAATGTCTCATATGACAATTTTATGTGCAATGCACTATGATGTTTTTTAAGTATGTTATGCCATTTATGGTCATGATAATGTTGGTGAAATACATTTATTTCATAGCCCATCAAATACACTCAGTGGAGCTGAGAGATGATTGGGAAATGCAAAGTTCCAAATAATGTGGCTATACAATGCCTTGAAGAAGCTTGACTGTAAGGTGAGAAGAGAGTAGAAGTACTAGCAATGAGAAAAAGTGAGTTTCCTTCAGATAGGCCTGTCCCAAGGCACTGAGATTGTTATTCATAATTGTGCATTTTAAGTAATTACATGATTACTACACCTAGATACTATGTCAAACAGAGCAAATGCATGAGCAAAAGAAAAAAAAATACACTTAACACCAGTAACATTCAAAATGGCCCTATTTTAAAATAACAAACAATATGGAAATTAAAATCGGTAGGATTTTGGTTAATTGCTTCCCATAGAACTTTATGACATGTTGCTTGAAATAAATTGTATATAGATACTGCTATTATACAAAGAACAATAAGATTATTTTTGTGAGACAAAAAATATGAAGACTAAGACATCTCTATAAGGACTCCAAGCAAAATTTCTCCCATCCTAACAGAGTATCAGAACCTCAGCAAATTTGGATGTTTAAATTGACAACTTCCCTAGTATAAAAAAATATTATCAAGCAATGACTTACTTTTCTTATCTTGACCTTGATTTTGTCTTTCAACTGTAGTCATTTCCTGCCTACAAGGAAAAGAGATTGCATGAAACACTCCAGTTATCTGAAGCTGAAATTGCGCTTGAAATAAATGTTTCATTGCTCTTAACCTAGATTGACAATTCAAAAGATAAATAAAAGTTTGCTTACCCTAGTTTTATTTTTCTGTAAAGCCATGAAATATAGCTGATAACACTGTATTATATAGTTAAAATCAGCTAAGAGAGTAGGACTTAAACTCTCTTACCAAAACAAAGAAACAAGCAAAAAAACAATGTGAGGTAATAGGTGTGTTAATTAACTCAATAGGGTGGGAACCTTTTATAATTTATACATATATCAAATTATGATGTACACTTAAATTTTTATTTTGAATTATATTTCAATAAAGCTGGAAAGAAAACACTAAATCAAGGGAAATAATTTAACTAATAGAGAATAAAACCCTTATTTTATGAAATTTAAGGAATTACCAGATTATCAGACTATATTTATTATCACATGTATGAACTATATATGTGCAATATAGTGAAATTTGGAAACATTCAAGGGAGAAGATTGAAAGTGAATTTATTTACCTGCTGTTCTTGGTGAGGGAGTATGTATCTTTAAAAGTAAATGAGAAGGTCCTAGAAATCTTAAATACAAATTTACAATGATAGATATTAATAAGTGTGAGGTAGTGATGAGAGCAATAGAGAAGATTTCTACAGGGACATGATTCCATACCACAACAGACAGGGGTTAAGAGGGAATGGAGTTGCCAACACATCACATTTTGTTCCTCTGTCTTACAGACTACTAAACTTGAGGGGAATAAGGAGGTAACCAAGGACACCACCTATAATGACCTGCCCACCTCAAGGTTGGTATACACATAGAACAGGAATGTGCCCAGGGCACAGGGAAGAGAACATTGGGTGAGGAATCAGTCTGAGAAAACACCAAAATCAATCCTGAATCTTAGCTTTTTTCTTTTCTTTGTACAAACGTACAAAGATTCACACACACCATTTTATCTCACAAATTACTTGCTTCTACTTGAAGTAGTAAACACAGAGTTGCAAACATGAACTGGATAACAAAAATAATGCACAAAAAAGCAGAAACAACATATTAAAGGCAGATAAGGCAGTACTTATATTTTTAATTATTGTTAATAATAATAATAATAATAATAATAATAATACATGGAGAGGGAAAGTGGGCTATCATCAGTCAGGAAAATACCGTAATAGAAAGAAATTATAAAATGTTTAGAGAAATTAAAACAGCATTAAAAGCATCAAAAACTAATAGAAATTCTTCTCAAAATAAGTTAGTAGCATGTAAAGCATGCTTAAAATAAAAATTAAATGGTAGAAAATGAGGAGGTAGAGTGGTTAGAGAAAGGGTGATAATCATGAAAAAAAAAAACAAGACCTAACATAATTGTTATTTCTGGAGATGAGATCCAAACAAATCAAACAAAAGTATCCAATGATATAATAAAAGAAAACTCCTGAAATAAAGACTTGCATCTCAAAATTGATTTTACAAAAAAACAAACAAAAAAAATCACATGGAACACTGAGATGTACAATAGCTTCTGAACTTCAAGAATAAAAAATGAATTCTAGAACACCCATTGCAAAAACATATGTAAAACCAAAAGGTCAATAAAGTGAGTTTAAGGTGGGCCAGACTCCATACTTGGAGCCACACACGCAAAGTTGTGAGGAAAAGAGGATAATCCCAGCACTATATGACCCTCCAAGGAAAGAAAACATAGTGTCAAATATCTTAGTACTCAGCGGATATAAAACCTATGAGTTCTTTAGGGGAAAAAAAGAAAAAGAAAACAAAAGATGAATGTAAAACCACATTTGAATTTTGTGAAAGGAAAATTTGTATTGCAAAAAGGTTGGTGACTGACGAGTCCAGCTCGCTCAGCCAGCTGCCTGTGGCTCTGAGGGTCTGGCCATGAGTACAAGCCTGTCTAACTAAGTCCAGGCTGTGAATTACTACCACCTGCTGCTAATTTTCTGCTCTCTGTCTTAAATACAGAGAACAGCTCTGGGTCCTGTGCCTCGCTGCAACTCCCAGAGAGTGAAAATCTCTGGAATTTCTTTTTAAAGAAAAACTTTTAATTAACCTGTGTTATGAACTGTGCCCCTCCCCCCCCAAAATTGATGTGAAGTCCATCTCCCTTACTCCCCCACCCCCCAGACCTCAAAATGACACTGTATTCAGAGACAGGGTCTTTACAGAGGTAATTTCGTTCAAATGAGTCATTGAAGTGGGTCCTAATCCAGTTCGAGTGGTGTCCTTTCAATAAGAGGAAATTTGGACCCAGACAGGCACAGATGGAAGACAGTATGTAGACACAGGGAGAAGACAGGCACCTACAAGCTCAGGAGAGGGGCCTCAGGAGAAGCCCATGCTGCCAGCACTTTGATCTTGGACTCAGGGCCCCCAAGACTGTAAGAAAAGAAATTTCTGTTGTTTAAGTCTCCCAGTTTGTGATACTTTGTTATGGCAGCCTGAACAAAGTAATACAGCCTGATAGTGGAGTTTGGACCAGACAATACTAGGTATTAATACTCTGTTCCCCCTCATCCTCCTTATTTGCTGAGGGAGTGTCCTGCCATTTCCCCACTTTCGCTCACCCTTCCACCGCATAGACCTTCTCACACCCCAAAAGATAAAGCCGTTAGCAAATCTCCCTTCTCTCATTTCAGAACTAGATCCAGATAAGAGATGTCATGACAAAGATGAAAACCCCAAACACCTACAACTGTCATAAATTGTTACCCACCAACATATTTAGAATCAATATCAAGCAAAGAAAAAGAAAATGTGAATATTAACTCAAACAAAATAGCAGTAAATTAATTTTCCACAGCCAATAACAAAAGGTAAGAAAAATAAGGACATAGACTATATGAAATACATAATTAATTATTTCTTTAATAGATTAATTTCAAAATTGTGATCCTTAAACAAAAATTTATATAGTAATTTTCAAAACTTATGGGGGATAATAAACATAATGCTAGTTCATGTTTATGGAATGCTAGTTCCAGCCAGGCATTTGTGGTAATGAATAGAAACTGATTTTTTTAAATGTTATTTTTACAACCACAATCTAAAGTTGTAGTGTTTAAAAATGTTAAGACTATTAGACATATGAAGAAACTAAAATTAAAAGGTAAAAGTAACATGTCAAAGTTGATACATAATATATGACAAAGAACTTTGATGAAATTCACAAAGGAGAGATAACACAGATGCTTATAATAAGGCAATAAAATTAGAACTTAATGTGAAAAATGTAAAACAATGCTTGAAATTAAAAACTACTCAGGTCCAAGAACAAATAAAAAGCAAAGTAACAAAAATATTGGATAATAGCGTTTCCTTTAACAAAATGTGGGCTACAGATAAAATATTTTTAAAGTAAAGGTTACATTCTTACATATCTCCATTTCTAAACAAAAAGAAATTGAAAACACAAAAAGTAAGTTTTTAATACAAAACAGTTAGAATAGCAACAATTTCAAAAACTAAGGTAAGCAGAAGTAAGAACTCAATCAAGATAAAAGTAACAACACTGTGCCATCCTAGAAAAAGCAAAACAGAAATCAGGCCAGCAGTTCAAAAGGCTGTGGGTAAGCAGAGAGGGAGTGGAAATATTTTATACCTTTAGTGAAGGTGATGGTTACATGACTATGTTTTTCTAAACTTACCAAATTATTTACCTGAAAAGGGTGAATTTTACTGTACTATAGTTCTACAAACCTAAATTTTTAAAAAGTTAAATGACTTGAAAGAGCTCATATTATCATTTTGATAAATATATTTGAAGTCATGAGTTGAATTAATGATATTCTAATAAAAATAAGATAACCAAAATTTACTCAGGAAAATGTAGATAATGTAACTTGATTCAAAGAGCATCATCCTGTCAAATTAGCCAAAAACAAAACTGAATCATTTCTAGCCCATATAAATCTTATATGTATTTGACTGAAATTAATTGAGATGGTCAAAATGGTTGAGATTTTCCTCTCCGAGTTGGTTAAAATTCTGTGTCTCACTCATAGAATTTGCTTGCATGGGGACACCCTAGACACATGTAATTTTACTTAGTCATTGTCTGTTTGTAATAGATTTGCTTATATTTGAAAACGTTGACACTTCAGTTCCTGTAACTGGGAAAAATTAGAGATTATCAGCTAGTGCAGATCTCACTTTAGACATGATAAAGCTCAACTCTGTACAGAACTGACTCATGGCAGCCTGGAAGAAGGAACTTGGTTCAATAACATCACCAGATGTTTGCTATCTGCTCTCCAGCTACAGATTTAAAGGGAGTTGCAGAGTCACACAGTCCAAGCACAGCCACGCCACTGTTTCTACTTTTATCTTAGTGCAGAGAAAGTGTAGCTGGGACATAGGAAATGGAGGATTCCTGCAAATATCTTTTCATATCACCAACAAGTAGCTGGGTCCTCTCTTCAGCCCCCCACCCTTTCACACTGTGTAAAACAAAAAGGCCTATCTCCAAGATAGAAACCCAGACCTTGAGATGAAATGATTAGAAAAGAGGCTGAGTGCCAAGATATGAAAAGCCCATGATTAACAAACAAGGCATGGTGTTTCTGTTCATCTAAGCTGAGTAAGCTATCAGTGGCCAGTTATCTGATGTTTTTCCACTGTATTTTTTTTCTTTTTTCTATTGAGTGTTTTGTAAGGGTTGGTCCACAGATAGGCCCTAGTAAGTCAGGTAGTGGTTAGTGCCTCGAAAGCACATGGTAAACTAATATAAAGTTACAAGCTGAGAGAAAAACAAGGCAAGTACAGGCAGAGGGCAGTGCAGGAAATCCACAGGGATTTCCTACGGAGTGTAGTCAGGGGCCTTGCAGAAGAGAGTGAGAGCCCATATTTCCAGGGAGAGATGCCGGAGAGCACAGGCACAGGAATGAGAAACCGTTTGCACAGCACAGCACATTGATCTGAAGCCCTGCAGTGAGGCTTAAGCCTAGAGGCCTGAAGAACAGGAAATGAGAGCAGGGTGCCTGGAGGACACTGTGTGAGAATGAGGAGTGGAGAATGAGATTGGGCAGGCACACAGGGCTCAATCCTTATAGGACTGTAGTCCCTGGTAAAGAGTTTGGACTTTATTCTGGATGCAATAGAGAACCATCGAAGAGTCTACAGGAAAGACATGATAACACATTTTCTAAATGTTATCCTGGCTAAACATAAAGAATATAAACATAAAGCAAACTTCCTTTATTTCAGCTACAGATTTAAACATTTGCTTTATATATGAGGTCAGACAATTATGTTTGCGAACTCATCCAAGAAAAAGTGCTACATACTTCATTACTGACACTATGGTCACCTTCGAAGTATTCTCCTTGGGAAGCTATGCACTGTCGCCAGTGCCTAGTCCACCCTTCAAAGCAATTTTGGAACTCTTTTTCTGGAATGTCCATCAGAGCTGTCGTCATATTACCCTTGATGTTCTGAATGTCAGCAAAATGTCTTCCTTTCAATATTTCCTTTATCTTAGGGTAAAGAAAGAAGTCATTGGGGGTCAGATCAGGTGAGTAGGGAGGGTGTTCCAATACTGTTATTTGTTTTCTGGCTAAAAACTCCCTTACAGACAGTGCTGGGTGAGCTGGTGCATTGTCATGATGCAAGAGCCATGAATTTTTGGCAAAAAATTCAGGTCGTCTAACTTTTTCACACAGCCTTTTCAGTTTCCAAATAGTAAACTTGCTTAACTGTTAGTCTCCAGTTGGTACAAATTCATAATGAATAACCCCTCTAATATCAGAAAAGGTTAGCAACATTGCTGCAAAAAGTTTGTGAACTTAATTGTCAGACCTCATATAACCATTAAGAAGCAATGCATGTACACTAATACCCCATGTCTCATTTAGACTGAGTCACCATCTAACCTTCTGCCAAGCCTTACAGGAAGTCACCAAAGAGCTCTATGATTGTGATTCTAAAAGATGTTCACTCTCACAGGACAGAAATTTGGGGAGTAAATTTCAGAGAAAAACACTCTGGTATGCTGTGTTCTTACCGTTTCTGTTCCACGTCTGGGTTTACCTTCCTGAGCTTTTGATTGTCTCTGAGGCAACTAAATGAAAACACATAAAAAAAATTAAGTAAAATAAAAAGAGGTTGTTACCTCCCTCAAAATGTTTTCACACCTTGTCTAGCTTTCTCTATCATTAAGACAAAGCCTGCCATTTTTTTTTCCAAACTTATCTTTCCTTCAGAATTGACATGCAGTCACAGACATAAAATGCAATTCAGAAATTAACCACAAAGGCCAGGCTAATAATGGGATGAAATGCCTATAGTCTGGCCTTTGATTCTCTCAGGTTTGTATTTCATAATCAGGAAATTTCCAGGGCTGAAATTTATCATGATCTATGTAAACTTCCTGAGTTTCCAGAAGAGGTGGGAGGGGTCAAAAGAGTAGAGGGAGCCTAACAACCTAAGTACAGAAAGGTGGGGCTTCCCCAGCAGCCTAGGTGAGATCAACAGCTCACCCACATCCATCCCATGGAGTATTAGGACTGTTAACCGTGGTTCTCAGAGCCAGAGCAAGCTTCTCCCAGCCCTGTTATTGGCCACCCATGTACAATATAAGGTGCTGTGATCTTCACCTACATTCAGGGAAGTTAATGTTGTGCATATTACTCTTGTGCTCCCCCATCAATTATCACCATCCTTGGGAGAATCAAGCAAGCACTTATAAATGATGAAGTGGAGGCCAGAGAAATCAGTACCTTGCATGCTTACACAACAGTTAGCAACACACCCCAGCTTTCCAATACACCTGTTGTCCAATCATAGCACTTCTTTGAATACTCTTTTCTCTCTATTATCACACTCCTTCCTGCTTGCATATAAAATATCATAGGATATGCCATGAGCCTTGTGCATGCTTACTGCCAATATTCAGTGTAGGCATTTCCTCAGTGTTGATGTTAAAAAGTACATAAACATTGTTGGACATTGACATACGTTAAATGCAAAGTAAGTCAAATTTGCAGAATAAGAGCCCCTTTTCTTTTGTAGGATTAGATCTGATGTAGAGATTTCTGGATAATAGTCACAAGCACTCAAATTTGAATGTAATAATTACTTAGTATAGATTGTACATCTGGAAAAATTTAATTTCACTGGCCCCTATCTTCTTTTTCTGTTTCCCTCAAGTCCAGTTTCCTCGTGATTTCACCTTCCTAAACTGGTCAATAAAGAAAGAATGCTAAAATTATTGTCTTTGAGGTTATTAGTGAGTCACTGACTTACCCTTCTAAAGACTGTTCATATTTTAAAGCTAAAATCAGGAGCATAAGGTCCATAATGTTAGTGGGAATCTAATTAGAATTCCATGTCATTAATACTACTGATTATAAATGGATACTAAATTCCACCATACATGAAGTAAAAGTTTGTTTTGTTTTGTTTTAAATCAGGAGGAATTCAGATAATAACAGGCAATAGGCGATGTACAAAGACTTGTTGACTGAATTAAAAAAATCATCTAATACTCTATCATTAAAAAGATCAAATTAAGCGTTAAAATGTATTGGCCAAAATATTGAGATTATGGGTGATTTTTCCATACACTTTTGTTTTTTTTAACATTCCAACTGACATTAGTTTAAGACATAACTCTAAAAAATAAATCTAAATAAATATTCAAAATATCCACAATGAGCACACTGTTACTCCATCAAGCAATAAAGTTAAAATCTAGTGAAATAATAATAAAAAATGTACATATGTCTAGAAATTAGGTAATATAATAAGTAATCCTTATTTTAAAGACTAAAGAAACTTTCTTAAAACACTTATAATAAAATAATTGTAAAAGCTATAGAAGACTATTTGAAGGATATAAAGAAAAACATAAAGAAAATGAGTTGCTAAAATACATTTATAAGAAAACACAAAGTAAGCAGTTATCTAAAGACGTTGGAAAAAGAAAGAGAAAACAACAAAAGTTATGGGCAGAAGTAAACGTAATAGAGACTCAAATATTAAAAAATAACATCAGTAAGATGGACAAAAGTCTGACAAGGTCAATTAAGTTAAAAAAAATAAAAGGGACCAAAAATAATACAAAAGTGAATTTCAGAATAAGTACTACATGAATAAAGCAAATATTATGAACAATTATATATATAATAAACATAACGACTTAAAATGGATAAATTTAATGAAATAAAATGCAAAAACTGGTACTTGAATACTTTCCAGACCTCAAAAATTCTAGCCCACATAGTTTCATAGAAAATTTAACCATGCTTCATGTGACAAATGTATTCTCTCTTAACAAGATGTTCCAGAAATAGAAAAATAGAAAATAATGCCAAACCCACTTAATGAGATTAGAATATTCTTTATTTCAAAATTAAATATAGGGGAAAAAAACATAGGCCCAATTCAGTCATGAAAATGCAATAATAATCAGTAAAATATGAGCTAGCTAAACCTAAAATTTGCAATAAACATAATATACATGAAAATTAAGTGGGCTTTATCCCAGAATTTCAAGGACAGGTCATCAACACAAAATATTTTAATATAATTTACCACATTAGAAAATTACCAGGTTATCTCAATAGTTTCCAAAATTTGCATTTGATAATATCTGGCCCTGTTAACAATTTTAAAAAGTCACACAACTGATTTTAAGGTAAAACTTCCTTGTTTTGACAAAACAAATGTACCAAAAATATACGGCAAACTTTATGGAAACAATTCAGAAAAAATATCTAAGATCAGTTACAAGAACACTGATATTTTAAGCATAATAATGATATAAAACAAGATAAGGTCTGAGCTATTAGAAATTAAAAAAGGAGAAAAAATATTTAACTTTATAGATATAAATTAACTTGTAGAAAGCCCAGTCAAATTAAAACCATTCAAAAAATTGAGGAAGTCAGCAAGATTGGTAGATTAAAAAATAACCTTACAGAATTCAGTAGCATTTTAACAAGAAAATAATGTACTTCATAAATTTAATGTTGTAAATGATATCTAAAACTCAGCCTAACAAAGAATGAAAGAGAAACAGAAATTACAACTCTACTAAAATACATTTAAAATGTTTAAATAAATGTATTATAAACAATTGTTTTGATTGAAATAGTGTATTTGCATAAATGTAGCATTTTGCACTCAAATTAATCTATATACTCTGTGTATCCCAATCAATATTCAAGTTGGCACTTTTGATAAAATCAACAAATTCAGTTATAAATAAATATGGGAGGATAAAGTTCTCAAAGAGATAAATCAGTTTTGAAACAAAGAACAAAGATGGCATGTTCTGGACACCATTAACAGACAACATCAACGTCCATTCCACCTTGTTTCTGGTTAAAGAAAAAAGCAACAACTTCCCTCCTCAGACTCATTCACTATCCATATTCAGGCTGCAGATTAGGTGCTGCCCAAAGTGTCAAGAGGCCTGTGTGGCTCTTCCTCTGACAAGCAGGCCCAGAGACAGAAAGTCTTTATACATTAATGGTCTAGTGTCCATTCTCCATCCTCAGTTAGCGCTGGTGGGAATTCTTAAATGTGGATTCACTCCAGCAGCCCCCTGGGTCAATTCTGTAGGGTGAGGGAACTTAGCAAGAGGCTCAGCCATTCCAGTGATATTCCAAACACCTAGTTCTTCATATTGAAACACATCCTGCTGGAGAAAAAAAAATCTACCATAGTTTGTATTTCCTGTGCCAGTCCTCTATGATGACTTCACACCTGATGCCAAGTCATGTTACAAAGTCATAATAACAAAAACAGTAAAAGAACACAAGAAATAGGCCAATGTAAAGAAACTGAGTACAAAGAAACAGATTCATCTTTAAGGAGAAACTTAATATATAATAAAGAAGGAACCACAATTCAATGGGAAAAGAAAGGAGCTTCCAACAGATGAAGCTGCGAAATCAGGCTCACTTTTGGAGAGAGCAGGGAAAAAAGCAAAACCCTTGCTTTATGCCATACAAGTATACTAATAAGGATTAAAGATCTAAATAAGAAATCAGTCAAACAACATTCAGAATAATAGCTTTGTCATGGAGAGTGGGAAAAAACTTCTTCATAAAACCCAGAAGAAGAAACCAGAAATTCCACTCCTAGGCAATTACTTAATTAAAAAGGAAAACATACCCCCACAAAACATTTATTGGTGGGGGCCGGCCGAGTGGCGCGATGGTTAAGAACTCGCTTGGGATGCCAGAGGGCCCCGGTTCGGATCCCACACATGAGGGCCAGTGACACTGC